ATGGTTGGACAGAAGGTATCGAGTGTAGTGGAAAGGGTCTATAAGCAGGAATGTTCTTTGCTGCAAGGGGTGGTGTGTCTTTGGCTATGCTAACAAAGTAGGAGTTGATAGCATTGGCGATTGCTACCGAATCAGTCGCGTCAACATCTTCCAGTGCGATTGACACATCCTGTTGCATGTTGGAAGACATGACCTTGATATAGCGATACCATGCGCTGGGATTTTCGTGTTTGAGGTGTTGGACACGATCTCGGTAAAAAGCTTCCTTCGCGTGACAGATTTCTCTCTGCACTTTGTTGCGGAGATTGTTCTGGTTTGAGGAATTATTGTGGAATGCCGTCTGTCGCTGGTTTATTAAACCCTTGACTCCGACGGTCATCCACGGTTTGTCTGTCGCATGTAGTCTGATGGTCTTACATTGGAAATAAAGATTAATGGCAGTGTTAAGCTCGTTATAGAAATGTTCACACTTACGCTCAACATCGTTTTCATCATAAACGTTGCTCCAGTCGTGATGCGTTATCCAGCTACCAAAGGGACGGACACTAGATTCACGGAAAGGTCTGACAACTCTGTGTTGCACTTTATTTTTATGGGGTGGCTGTTTTTTCGGCAGCCAAGTAACTCCATTGTGGTGAACAACAGTCCATTCACCGGCCTGTTTGCGTGAGAAGATGGAGCTGGTGGATTATTCTAATGATAGAAAACAATAGCCGGATTATCTAAACTACGGTCTGCCCATCTTCATTCGCTTTGTTATGATCTGCAGTGAAAAAGCAGGAAGTCTATTCATGATTTTGATTTTCGAACCCATCAGCTGCAATGTTTTGTTTGCATCCACTAAATACTAGCTTCTGGTGTTTATATTTCATCAAGAGATTAAGAAATATAGCATAAACATTCAGAAGAAGCTAAAATGAACGGAGAGAAAAATATTACAGTACAATAATAATTATAAGAAGTAAAACTTTTTAATATAAATCTCTGTTGCATCAAACTGATATGACAAAAAATGTTTATTATGCTATATTGATGGTGTTAATATACGTCGGACATTAATATAAACAAACACAACAGAAAGAAAAAAAAGAGCCGGGGCGGGGGGGGGGGGGGGGGGGGGGGGATGGTGATTAGAGAGACAAATATCATTATGATGAATATAGTACAGACTTCGTCCAACTTTCTGTCTCTCCAACCCCTCTCACTCATATCGTTTATTTCTTCCTTCGCTTGCTTTTATGTCAACCTCAACTGGCAATATGATTTTGTGTGTCTTGTTTCCCTGTTTAATACTTTTTTCTTATCTAATTACCATGCTTTCGCTCAAAATCTATCACAATCACTAACATAATGGCGCAAAGGCAACGTCGAATGTCCGAGATAAAATCATTAGAAGCCAGAGCAAATAACACTGAGTTCCTATTAGAAATATATTTATTCAGATGGTCATATCTCAGCCAATACTTCACATATTCAATTGTTATCAATATTAGGACATTATTTTTGATACTCTTTCGGGATATAAAGAAAAATTGAGAAATTCAAAACATAGGTTATTGATGACGTCGCACTTCACCACTTATTTTAAACTTGTTTATTACCCGTGTAACTGTGTTAGATTCTTTTCATTTCATATACCTGGGGACAAACCTTTGATAGACTTTTTTTCTTTTTTTTTCCTCACATTTTTATATAACTTCAAGTTGATTGTTTTATTGAATTCTCTCCCATGATTTTTTCTATTATTTTTGTCTTAATTCATCTCCTACCTCGATCATTCCTATTGTTTTATTTCATATTGTTTATTTCTGAACTTTAAATGTAATATCCATTTTCTTTGTTGATAAAATGTTACGTTTAAAACGATTATCTAGTCTGGGTCGTTGGTAAGATTTGTTTAGGCATGATTGTGCAATCAAAGAAAATAATACTAAGCTGGTAGAATTGTTGTATATGCTTTAATTTTTATGTTATTTTTCACTCGTTTCACTCAATCATTGAGTTATTAATGTAAATACGTATTGAAATTATGGAAATAAAAACCTCACTTGAGGATAAAAGAAAAAATGAAGGCTGCTGCTGTTGTTGTTGTTACTTTTTTTTTACGGCGCTTTCATTCAAAAAGCTCATATTTTGCGCCATTCATTTATAACTATCTTTTCATGATTAGTCAACAACAAAAAAGCCCCAGCCACCCGCCTCCGCGGCCCCTGCATAGTTTGAGAATTACATGGCCTATAGAGGGCGGTCAACTGGTATCAGTTGAGAGCAATATGAGAAGGTCGCATTCTGTTCTTAAGTCGTTGGACCGTACGCTCTTTTATACGGGATTTTCGCGTGGCGTCTTCTCAATAGAGGGTTTCGGATGATTGTGGCTTTCACTCAAACTAGGCCGCGTTGCATAAAGCCGCGTGATTACTGCCACTCGAATTGATCCAAGGCGCCTAAACAACATCTCAAAAATTTAGTCTCTCTTTATATGGTATCTCTAAGTTATTACATCTTACAGTCATTGCCTGTTATTTAAGAGACTTACACATTTCAGTGTGCTTCTTTTTATATGATATTTTATAGACTTCGTTACGTATCACCTATTGATTTCGTCAAGATTTTCTTTATTATTATTTCTTTTTATTCTTCCTCGAATTTGTTCGCAGGATATCTCAAGATTGAATAAAGCCATTATCATGAAACGTTCAATAATGATAGATCTTAGTCTAACTTAGAACTGTGTGACTTTCCAGAGAGTCAAAATTATCGTGACGTCATCCAGGCGCCATTTTGTGAAAATCAACTAATGATCATATCTTCATAACGGAAAAGTATTTCTCATTCATATTTATCACGATTAAGATCAATATCCGTCCGGTCAATTTCATATCAGTAAACGTGCGCAAATGCGTGCATGCGTGTTCGTCCGCGCGTAAAATTAAAATGCTCCAAATCATCCCAATTTTTTTTTGCATACGTTTCAGGCCATATGGAACTTTTGACAAAAAATCGCGCTCACGCGCATGCGCGCGCGTTTTTTGCGCGTACTAGCATTTCGCAACATAGAATCGCCGTATTTTCTCTATTATCATATTTGGCACATTTTTCCAAGCATTAGATAACTTGTTCATCTTTTAATAACGCAATGAGCGTCCATCAAAGTTGACAGCGCGCGCGGACCTGCGTTATCTTTATCCACAATACATGAGCAAAAACATGCCTATACAAAGTTCTTTGTAACTCTTCAGAATAGATAAAAACTTCCAATATTTGTTCATATTTAGATAGATTATGAGTCTGAGATATCATTTCATGTCTCATTTGACCCTCAATTAACTCATGACGTCATCATAATGGCCTCCAAACTCAAAATTTCAATTTGCATATTATGACGTCAGCATATTTTTGGAAAATTGATTGTATCAGAGATAAATGTTTATTGATTTTCTTTCAAATTTTGATATGTTCTAGCTGAGACAATTCTCTACAAATATACTACACATAATTTTTCATTTTAACAAAGGCATCATGGCGTATTTTTTCCATTAAAGGAGGCATGTCAATTTTTCACATTTTGCGTGTATTGTCTATGGGACATGACTTTTTCTCAAAACTGCATTCTACATTTCCGTCTTTCGCGAGCAACATCTCCGTTGTTTTAACTTTGTTTTCAGTGAGCTTCGGGTATGTTGTAGCTGAGACAATGAGCTATCTCCAATGTGTACTTCATTTTTTGATCATATGCCGGGATCATGCTCATATTTTACTTGCAAAGTGGGATTTTAGAATTCCATTTTCGTTTACGTGTAATCGCTATGGGAAATGTTTTGGTATATCGGTAACGTACTTGACTTCCGACCTTGAGATCCCGGGTTCGAGTCCGGGTGTCTCCAAAAAAAAAATTCTTAACTTTTTTTTCTTGTTGACCTTTCACTGTACCATCTCCTTTAATTATTCGAACACGTAGAATCGCAAATAATGTAATAAACAACCCTATTTTCTTTATTGTTTCCCTATTTTCACTTAATCCATTACTTTTTGCGTGTAATCCCTGTGGGAGATAATACTTTCTCAAATCTGGATTCTACATTCCTGTCTTTTGCGAGCAATATCGCCGTTATTTCTGCTTGGATTTTGTTGATTTTTGAGTATGCTGTAGCTAAGACTATGTGCTATCTAAATCACCCTCATTTTTTCAATAAGATGTCAGTATCCCGCTCATGATCATGATCTTCATCATGATCATCATGATCATCATTATCATAATGATGATAATCATTTATCAATTACATTTTCATTTCTTTGAATATGATAAAATCGTCAAAATGTGTTCTTCATGATGTAAATTAGAGTCAAAGGTGTAACTGGTTACTGCGCAGGGTCAATGGACATATTTTTTCAATCTATCTTCCCTAGATCCATCATGATCAAGGGGATACAATTTAAACTTGACATATGGATAGATCTTAATGGATGAAGCATTTCATGAAATAATTTGATATCGTGTAATGCATTCTTTATTATGTAAACCATTAGCATACGTATCACCTAATTCGTCAAAGTGACAAAATAAAGTCTAGTTTCTTTTTCTTTTTCTTATGGGGGGGGGGGGGGGGGGTGGTTGTAATTAGCAAAATGTAAATAGTACACCATAATTGAAGATTGGCATTATGAGCTCCCATGACAATTTCTCTGCCATCAGGATTATACACAGACCAAATCCCAAATTTCAACCCCAAATTAAACATGCATCCTAAACCTAACCCCAACCTTAAAAGTAATGTACAACTCTAATGCAACCCTAACCCTATTTCTTTGCTGAGATATAGCCTAGAGCGATTGCTCCCAGAGCAAATATCTGATCACCTTCAGGTACTCTATATTCATGAATATTGGAAGTATTAAAGTCGACAGGAAGCTTTTTTGTCTCTCCGAAGGGGATCATTATAAGTCACTTCATGTGGGCTGATTTGCAAACTTCAATGTTTTTTTTTGCTTGTGATTTGCAGAATCTGAAATCTATGAGGATCCAGCCGTAAAGTATGAAGGACCTGCTGCGAACCCAGATCCACTGGATCTTGAGAATTACTTGGTAAGTAAACAACCCTTTCCACTGGCGATTGACCTTGACTGTCCCTTCAACGTTTCAATGATCTGTCTTTGACTGTTCATACAAAAGTTCAAAGATCTTTCTTTGACTGATCCTTCAACAGTTCAATGATCTGTCTTTAACTGTTTATACAACAGTTCAAAGATCTGTCTTTGACTGTTCATACAATAGTTCAAAGATCTGTCTTTGACTGATCCTTCAACAGTTCAATGATCTGTCTTTGACTGATCCTTCAACAGTTCAAGGATCTGTCTTTGACTGTTCATACAACAGTTCAATGATCTGTCTTGACTGTTCATACAACAGTTCAATGATCTGTCTTTGACTGATCCTTCAACAGTTCAATGATCTGTCTTTGACTGATCCTTCAACAGTTCAATGATCTGTCTTTGACTGATCCTTCAACAGTTCAATGATCTGTCTTTGACTGATCCTTGAACAGTTCAATGATCTGTCTTTGACTGATCCTTGAACAGTTCAATGATCTGTCTTTGACTGATCCTTCAACAGTTCAATGATCTGTCTTTGACTGATCCTTTAACAGTGCAATGATCTGTCTTTGACTGTTCATACAACAGTTCAAAGACCTTTCTTTGACTGGTCCTACTTTGACGATCCGTCCTTTGTCCAATAAGGCATACAACGACAATGAAAATTTTTATATTTTTAAACTGAATTTGTGACTGTTATGTGAAATATAGTTATTAAAAGCCCTCAACTGACTTTTTGTCAGATTTCTGTGAGTTTAGTGTCTGAAAAGCAAGACACATACAATTGTAAGCTATTGGAAACTTAAGTTTTTATTTAACTCCTTCAAAGGAATATCAATGAAAAGGGAAGAATTATTCAGATCATGAACACTGAAAGGATTGCAGGAATAGAGCTTTAATGTATTAACAGGTTGCGTAAGTGATGACCCTGGTTCATTGCGAATTTCTATGGACCACAGCAGAAATTCCATTATCAAATTTGACCAGTTGCTGTCAGTAATTTGTACTTCAAACTATGTGTTTAGAGACATCTGTTCTTACTCTGTTTCAGGTTCCTTTTAACTTGGACTTGACCCAGCGTTTCTTAGCAGGGGAAGGGTCCCCCTCCGGTTCTGCTGAATCTTCAGATATAGTAAGTAATTCAATTTGGAGTGCTTTCTTTAAAGGTTGGGTAAAATCCAAATATAAGTTCATTCCTGTTGATGTGCAGGGCTGCATAAAACTCATTTTTGTTATTCAAACATTTAAATATATTTCATAGATTTTTTGATAGTTTTTAAAATAGTTTTCTCAGACCTGCTAAGCTCCACCCTAAAAAAAGCTCCAGATCTCATTCATCTTGTGACAATATCTGTCAATCATTAGTGAGCTATAAACAAGAGACAGTGGTATGTAACTTCCTCCAGCTCAGCACATGCTCACCAAAGAATTGCATTCTTTCATACAATACCTCCACATTACCTTTCTTTTCCTGGTGATGCTACAGCTTGTCTGACATAGCAACACCTACGTTGGTATTGTATGGTCTATTGTACACAGGTGGTCAGCTCTGGTGAAGCTACATACCATATCTCTTGTTAGCTCACTTATGATTGACAGATGATGTCACAAGATGAATGAGATCTGGAGCATTTTTTTTAGGGTGGAGCTAAGCAGGTCTGAGGAAACTATAAAACAAAATATTCAAAAGTCACTAAATATATTTAGATGTTTGAATGACAAAATATGAGTTGTCAAGCCCAAAAGAAGTTTTGTCATTTGGGTTATTATAGCAAATTCCAAAAGGATGGATCTTAAGCCTCTGTTATATTTTTTATTTCTCTATGTTAATACCTTGCTTTAATTTATGTGTCTATATGTGGCTAAATCATAAGTTTTTTTTGTGATTGTCATGATCACATTTTGGTATCAACATTTGATTTACTACTATGTCAAATGATGTATTCCATATTCTGATTTACTGTCCACATTGCTTATGTATGAGTTCAGTAAAATGAATCAATTTCCAGACCAAGTCAGATTCAATTCATTTCTATTCAAATTTGGTTTATTAATATTAGCTTAAAAGAAGGAAAACAAACACAAAATACAGGACAGTAGTCAAAGACTAATAGTTTTCTGTTTACAATGTAAAAATGAAATGGAAAAAGTAATTTGGTGTGGACTGTTTACATTGAAACAGAATTGTTGACACACTTAAATCTGACAGACTACATTTGATAATAAGCAATGGTTCTGTTTGTTTAATAATGGGTGCATATAAAATGTTAAATTCTGAGAAATAAGCGGAGGCTAATCCTATTTTTTAATACCATTGCACATTTGTTACAATGTACCTCCAGGAAAACGATGATGACACTGAGAGCCAGTTCTCCTATGCTGCTACTGAAGTTTACCAGTCTCCTACAGCAACCCCTCGCCGTCTGTCTGTTGTTGATATGCTGGTATCCACTGAAGCAATCAACACAAAAGCTATTAAAGCAAATAAAGAAGGTATAGTGATCCTGAATGAGCGGTGAAGAGAGAGAGAGAGACATACTAAAGCTTAGTAGTAGTAGTCAATAGGCCTGTTTTCATCAGCATGAGTTTGCCAAATAACCCGCTATTTTCAGACTCTGGATATTATCCCGAAGCTTGAAATGGCGTCTTCACCAGACCGATACGCTCATCACAATCTAACTCGGACGGGTGCAAATTAGCCCACTATTTCCCAGATAGCGGGATATTTAGGAAACAAGACCAACATTTCACGACCAAATATTTCGCTAATTGCAACTGCGGGCTGATGAAAATGCAAATTAACTGGCTAATTTGCGATCGGGATAGTTAAAAAAGCAGGTTATTTGGCAAAACCTAGCTGACGGCCCTCATCAGAGTTTCCTCTTAATTCTGGCAGTCAATCAAAGCCTGTTTGTTCCTTTAGCTTCCGTTTGTGTTGACCCATTTCTACTTTCTCTTCATTCTTGGGATTTATTCAGATGATTGTAAGACGAAAATCATTATTGCATATCTGTTCACTGTTATTCTTTGATTTTGTAACCTGCATGAGTGATCAGTTATTTGCCAAGACAACCTGTCTGTAAAGAACACTTTTTTTGTTTCCTTTGAATTATGTTTCTCATTTTGGCATGTACTGTGGTAGCCTAGAAATATAAGTTTCTTGCTCAGTTAAATATCAATTAATTTTCTTGTCTCACTTGATTGGTCTTCATACAGGTATGGATGTACAAATAATACACAGCAATGAGGGCATTAGTAAGAGTTACCAACACAAGGTACCTTTAGAACAGTCTAACACGCCAGAGGCGATAGCCGAGGTTGTTTGGACTGTTTCGAAGGTACAGAGTGTTGGGAATTTTATTAATGCCCAAACAAAATGATGTATTTTATTTGTTTTATAAGATGATGTTTTATTTGTTTTATGAGATGATGTTTTATTTGTTTTATAAAATGATGTTTTGTAACATGATTTTACTAATGACCGGTCATAAGTATTTATTAATGACCAGTCATTAGTAAAATTACATGTTAGGCAAAATAAATACCTGGTCACGTGTACGCTCTCAACCAATCATTTGATTAGGATCAGCTTCATCATCTGACCCTTTTTACCACCATAGGCAGTTGAAACCTTCCAAAATTTGGTATTGAATAAGATGTTTACGGAAAAAGAAATCTTGTCTTCTTGAAATTCAAAATAGGTTTGTGTTATAAATCATATAGTGTACCAAGATGAGGAATATATTAGATAGTGCTATGATTAGAAACTTATGTAATGCTTGAAGTTTCGACCAAGCAGAGGCCTAGTGTCCTGATGTGTAGTATATGATAGCGGCTGTTGATTTCCAATGCCATGTTATACCGACAGCTGCAAAATGAAGATTTAGTGTTTAGTGTGTTTCGCTCAGAACTTTTTCAAGTATTGAATAGTTTAATACATGGTCCTATTTTTCCACTTTAAAATATATGCAGTATATTCCATGAGGCGCAAACAGTCTACAAGAAGGCACTCGTTTCACACCAACAGAGACGGGACAACAGGGAAGTTTGAGTTCCCCATATTTGGACGTTCTCCAGGCCCATCCCCGTCTCCTACCCCACCCTCAACCCCAAGTGATATGTCTGTTTCTGACGTAAGTCTATTCACGTGCCTTTTCATCACTTTAAAAAAAAAAAATCATCTAAAAATATACGAAGGACTTGCAAACAATGCATGGATGCATCCATACAACCGTATCATGTTTTTTAAAGAGATTAAACTGTTATAAAATTGAAAATAGCCATATTTCAGGTTGCGATATCATCAGCGTAGTGGTGATAGATAAAGTGATACGTTTGTTACTGACGTAAGTGAAGTCTATATACTGCCTTTCATCACTTAAAATAAATACGTGCAAAAAAACACGTGAGCATGTGAAGAATGAATAAATATATAAGAAGGATCTAAATCAATGCATGCATCCATACAAGCTTATCTTGTTGGCATGTTGTTGAAAGAGATAAAGTGTTATCAAATTTAAAAATAGCCATATATCAGGTCGTGATATCATCAACTTAGTGGTGATTGGCAAAGTTATTTTTGTTGCTGTTGCTATGCTGTGAATCATTTGAACCGAGTCCACAGCTTTTTCCTTGTAAATATCGTAGATTAGGTAAATAAGTTAACGGTAGTGATAATAGTGTTATACTTAAGTCGTTTAAAAGTTAAAGGAAAATTTTTTGTTTTCCTAACATTTATTCTGAGAAATAAACCTTGTACTTTTATTTGAAACTCTTGAACAACATATTTTTGAAAGTTAAATAATTGTTTAATTTTATTTCTTTTTGATTGATGGTTCTCTTGATCAATATTCATGCAATTTAGGTTTGACAAAGAATAGAATGATATGATATGATGGTTTGATATGGTATGATGTTTTCACTCACTATAGATCTATGTATAAATTTGTAATGTTCTCAAGCTTTAGCTACATGTAGACATTTGTCCGTAACAAATGGGGGTCTTTCGGGAACGCAAAACGCCGCAGCATAATTTTCGCGCAAAACGTACACAAACACCCAATCACTCTTACTGCATTTCAAACCTACCATTTTTTAGTTCAAATTAAAGATGTGCATAAAAACATTTTTAAAAATCTGTTTGCAGTCAAAGGATCTCCTCCTCGAGATTCGCTCTTTTGAGTGAATCCATGATAATATTCAGGAAGAAAACACCTCGTTCAAGCGTCGAACGGCAAATTCGAATCCACATGTAGTTAAATGGCAGAATTCAAATCCTACACACGCACACGTACACTCACCAGTACCACAGACACACCAGCCAAGGGCCGCTAGGCCCGGCGCGCATGAACAACAACACACCGTATACCACACTTGCAATGCGCCCGCTGGATCACCGAAGTCTTCGCTACTATACTTTGAATGGGTATTGCGGGCGCTGCGCGCACGATCATCCACCACCATGCTCCCCCCAAAACGCACGACCGCACGTAGCATACTAGTATCAAAACAGTTATGACGGCCGCCGTGTTGTTTCGGAATTAAACATGATGGCGGCGGACGGACCATGTGCGCGATCCAGTGTAGTCAAATTCAGTGAACTTATGAGTAAATGCGTGCGACATGCAGCGCTGTGTACGGAGGCTATGAGATAAGGCAGCATTCGCTATAATGTACTTTTATTTATTGTTTCCCCGTAACCTTTTGATTGTTTACCGTAATGCTGTAACAAGAGCATTAAAACCGTAACAAATACGGCGAAACCGTAACGGTTGGCATCTCTGTAAACCACCATGATACCAGCTGATGTGTTTTGTTATTGTTGATTCTTTCAGGTTTCTAGTGAGTCAGAGGAGGAGGAGATTGGGAAAATTGAAGAAGAGCCAGAACCTCTCTTCCCAACTGTTACAGAAGGTAAGGCCTAGAACCTCCTACCCCCCTCAAAAAAAGAAAAAGAAAAAAGAATCTCTATGTCATTTGCTAAATGTGGGTGAAGATATACACCTGAAAATTTGTCTCTTCACAGGACTAAGTTGTTTCCTGACATTTTCTTAATCAGTTTTTGAAGGATAATGTCTTTCTTTGATGGTTTTATCTGATAACTGATACACTTATCTTGCATATTACCGTACTGCATACATAACATGATGGTAAGTTGGTCAAGCCGTGTTTGTCGGACTTGGCAATTATGAATTGTATTCATTTTTCATTGGGACTACTGAGATACAAAGTATGTTAATTTATAACAGGTGAATTTAATTGCTCGTTTCAGGTAAATGTGTATAAATCTGAAATTTTCAAAATGGTCTATTGATAAAGTTAATGTTATTGATGGTTCTGTGAACCTTCATGTCGTAGTCTCTATCTTACAGAGGGAGCTGACATGTTTGTGTAGGTGGTTTACCCCTTCATTTTTTAATATGGCTTAAATGCTGTTCTGTTCCCCTTCTTGTAATAAATAGTTCCCATCTTGGAGAGGAAGCCGCCATCCAAACCAGCCGAGCCTGTTCCTGTGAAGGCTAAGGAAGAAGAGTCAAGGTTTGGCTTATCTGCCATGAAGATTGATGCCAAAGCCCTTCTTGCTAGCATGAGGAAAGCACCCAGCTCGGCTACTATGAAGAAACCCAGTACCCCGTCACAGGTAAGCAAGGGGATTTACGACCATGTTCTAGCTACAGTTTCTCCATGGTTGATTTCCTACACGACTTAAAGAGAGTGTAGCCTGACAAGATTACGTTTCAATCGGGTCTAATACGACTACGGACGACGCGACCGAAGCGATCGCTGACTACCGTTAATCAAGTCCATTTGTTTACGTGCAGTTGTCCAAAAGTATACATAGATGGCGTTAACCAGTATTTGCCAAGCTACACTCCCTTTAAACTTAAATTGTGAATTTCAACCCTTAGACCAAACACTTTATCTAACCCTAATCTAATCATCACTATGAAGATTGAGGAAAGTATCTGCTCTACTACTGTGAAGAAACAGAGTGCCTAGTCACAGGTAAAGAAGTGGCTTGAAACTTGGCACTTCCTTCACAATCAGTGGAAAAATTATACCTGTTTTGGTATGCTTTCACTACCTGTGCAGCAGGCTTCATTACAAGGATATGGTAGCAACATCGGGTCAGAAATAGCTTTCAGCATTAAACATGAAAGCTTACCAAAACAGTTAACTTCTCCACTGATCGTGAAGACAGAACTATGTTTCAATAACATCACCAATCAGATGAGCCTCTTCAAGGATTCAATAAGGAAGTGGCTTTACGACTAATGCTCTAACACCAATGAATCCATAGTCAATTTCCTATTTTGACGAAACTCTGGACTCTATAAACCCTAGACCAAACTCTCAACATAGCCCTAGCCCTAATTGTAACCCTCACCCGAAACCCAACCTGAAACCCTACCTAAAACCTGTTTAGAACTCTAGCCCTAACCCTGTATCTTCGATGAAATAAAGCATGGAGGAATTGTTGCCAGAGAAAAGGTCAGATCGCCGAAAGAAACTTCCATTTTTGTGTGATTGGGCGTTATGCATTAGGCTGCTAAGTTGTAAAAAGGCAGACAATATACATTAAGAGCAAAAGTTGTTTTGGTAATTAGTTTACTTAAATGAACATGACCTCGTGATCAATACAAATGAATTTGACATCATTAGCACGAGAAAAGATTTGCTTTTAATCATCACCTGCCAGCCTTGAAGCAGCTAATTAGAAAAATTAATGAGCGATGATGAATGAAGAAATGAGCAAACAAGAAAATGAATGAATCCATGTATATCAAGTACTTTGTTTACCATCATTAAAAAAAGGATTTGAATGTTTAAAAAGGCTTCTTTATTTTGATAATTAGATGAGCTTTGTAACAAGTGATATAATGAGTTATTGCCATTTGGTCTACAAACTACCCAATTGGTCTATTCCCATATGGTCTTTTGGTCCAATAATCATTTAATCATAAATAATAATCATCAAATGATTATTAGACTGTATGGATTGTAGACGTACTGGACATTATACAAACCGGGATAAGTCTAACTGGTTATTAGACTAAATGAGCAATAGACCAAATGGGTAGTAGACTTATTGGAGATTAGTCCGAATGATATATAGACAAAATGATTATTAGACCATGTGGATAGTAGATAGTATAGACCAGGGCTTCTCAATGTCCGGACTGCGGTCTGGATACGGACCATGTCTGTCAGATTCGACACTCCTGGCGCTCCTGATTGTTACCCTGGCTTTAGCACGGCTACCATTACCATTACCATTGTAGCGTATAAAACTGCTGTGCACAGCCAAAGTAAACATTTCCCCATTAATTATTTACTCTACTCAATGCAGAATTTTTACTTCCCGGATAAATGAATAATTAATTAGTAATCATTCCCAAAAAATATGAGACATAGATATGAAATTTCATGGACTTATTCTTTATGAGAAACTCTATGAATATGCCAAGTTTAAGAATTTTTCGTCATTCTATGGCCGAGATTCCAAAGAAGCACACCCCATATCTTATCAAATATCTCATTAAAATTTTTTTTTTTTAAATTGAAGAGGAAGAGGTAATTTGAAAGAAATAATTATACGATAAAAACATGCTTTGATATCTGTAGTTTTTATTCTATCTGATGTGTCTTGTAGCATTGAGAACCTTCAAGACATTAACTATAACAGCATTTTCTTCATTTGATAATAATTTTTGTTGTTTGTCCAGTTTTAGATTACCTCTCCACCACCCCCCCCCCACCCCCACCCCCACCCCAACAGTTTAGTGAATTTAAGAAATAAAGATGTATAACCAAACTCTGGATACAAGAAAGAAAGTTTAATTTTGAAAATTTCATCATTCTTTTCTTCTTTTATTTCCTTACTTTTTACCACCATGGTTCCATTTTGTGGGTTTTTGTAAATATATGTTTTGAAAAGGACAACCTTTTCAAGGTAATCAACAAAATAAAGTTAGCAATAAGATACTGTTTGATGCACAAAACACACCCACAGTATTATATCTATGGTATTACCCAAGGTTATTATGAACAAGATTTTTATCACGTCGTTAGGGTAATTTTGTAAAAAATTCTTCATATCTGCAAGGTTAGATGGCTTTGCTGTTGTAATCCGTCTTATTGAAAATGATTCAAAATTAAAAATGTATTATTTTCAATACTTGCAACCTTAACGGCTGAATTCACATATTTGAAAAACATATTAAAAATACAAACAGATGGAATCAAAACAGATCCAAGTAAAATACAATGAATGTGGGCTGATTTTGATCAAGTCATCAAGATAATTTTGAGAAATCCTTTATGTCTGCAAGCTTAGACAGCTTTGCTGTTGCAATCCTTCTTGTTAAAACTCATTTAAGTATGTGACACATGATGAATGAAAATTGGGTTTTGTGGTCATTTTATCAAAATGAATTAAAGTTAAGGTAATACTCTGCTTGAGTGCTTTTTTTGGTCATTTGTGCATGAAATAGATGAATGAAAAGAACGGTATTGTAGGAGATGATGAAAATTCACTAACAGGATAGGCTTTTATCCAATTATGCTATCAAAGAACCAAAAAAAATTGAAGTAAAATATCCAAGATGAATTTTGTTTTGATGTTTTTAAAAATAATGTATAAACAAAAATCTGGTATCACTTTCTAATAACCATAAAGTAAAGTTGTATTCATCATTTGCATAGTCACTGGCTGGAAAGTTTAAAGGGATCCGGTAACTTTGTCTCAGATTCTGAAATAAATTCTGGATTTAGCTCATGATGCAATGCCAATTATAAACCTTTAGGTCAGTCAGGAGCCCCATGACTTTTACAAGCCGATCGCCTGTCTGATTATCAAGATATTTATGATTGGAATTACAAATTTTGAAAACCGTTCGCCTGACGGTTTTCATAACACTACAGTCTATTGGGGAAAACGAGTATGGTAAAACCGGTCACTCAAAGATTTTTACTTTTTTGAGGCACTTCTTGATCATTTTGAAGCGCAATTTTTTTAGGGCTTCAATATTACACCATATCACAGACACTGATAGGTAGGGCCATGTATCTCAGATTTAAACGATCCCTTTAAGCCTAGGACTACCTCTTGTGTAATTGTAATCTATCAATTTTGCCTTTTTTAAAGCAGCTGAAAGTAAATATCTTTGTTAAAATGACAAACATTTTAAGGCTATCAACAATAAAGTAAGCAATAAGATACTGGTTGAGGCATAAATATACCCACAGTCGTTATATCTATGGTATTACTCAAGGTAATTATGTGGGCTGATTTTGATCACGTCATCAAAGTAATTTTGAGAAACCCTTCATCTCTGCAAGCTTAGACGGCTTTGCTGTTGTAATCCGTCTTGTTAAAATTGATTCAAGATTTTAAATGTATTGTATTTCAATACCCGCAACCTTAACGGCTGAATTGTTATTGAATTTACATATTTTAAAAACATATTAAAATTACAAACAGATGGAATAACAAATGAGATCCAAGTAAAATACAATGAATGTGGGCTGATTTTGATCAAGTCATCAAGATAATTTTGAGAAATCCTACATGTCTGCAAGCTTAGATGGCTTTGCTGTTGTAATCTGCTTGTTAAAACTGATTCAAGATTAAAAATGTATTTTTTTTCAATACCCGCAACCTTAACGGCTGAATTGTTATTGAATTTGCATATGTAAAAAACATATTAAAATTACAAACAGATGGAGTATAATATATATATATATTTCATATAAATTGTAAATTTAAAATGATAGAAGAAATCAAACTGGGAATGGGAAACAATGAGAATTTTATTTAAGTAGAAATCAGCTGAAAGTAATTTGAAAAATACAAAATCAAAGAATTAAGAATTTTTCAATATATAGAACAGAATCAATCATGACAATAAATGAAAATAAATGGTCTATTTCAAAAACATAATACTGCACAGCAGAATTTTAATAAAGGCAAGTAAATTTCAGCAAAAGCTATACTTCACTGAATTCGAAAGTTGACAGAGTCATAACTGATTTGTTTTTATTTCTACAGATGGCTGTAGATGAACAAGGTGGAGAGAGATTTAGGCCAGCAACGAGTGTAAGTATATGTGATGTAAATAGTTTGTTGTTGGTTTCTTAGTCACGACAAGGCTATTTTTGTAATGGGTTCTTTTCTCCGTACTACCAGACAGCTGAGAATGCAAATATTTGCTTGTAAGTAATCAACCAGGGGCCCAGTTCACAAAAACTTTTTTTTCACTGACAAATGACAAAAAATCAGTGAAAAATCTGCTGATGACCAATTAGAAGCAAGGATTTCTGTAGCTTATAACAAAAACTGTCATTTGTCACTGATGACAAGTTTTGTGAAACGCCCCCCCCCCCAGGTGACCTACGACTTTAACTCCTATCAGGAGGACTTGATAATGAAGGTTGATGCTTTACCAACGATACTAGCACATTTTGTTCGATTTTTAACTTTGATCTATTGGTTATTTAACTCACTCTTAGATCCTAAACGAATGATTGGTCATGCATGGTCATGTGTGATCGATTATAAGATAGATAAGATAGACTTGGTTGAGTTCGGACGTGTGCTGGTTGTGCTCCGGTAAAACGGGCCATCCACCTGCTTTCCGGGAAGCAATTAATAATAAAAAATATATCTTTTTCAAAAGCTCAGTGTATTGAGTCTTTTGGGATCTTTGATTTTTATTTTGGATCAACATTTTATAGTTTTATCATCGTTTTTTAAATCTTAAATTTGTTTTTTGGAAAAGGATTATTATTTCAAATCATCATAGCGTTGTTTTTGTCATCAAACTTCAAAGTCATAGTAACAGGCGTATACGCTGGGAACGCATCCAACAAGTCTTATCAACGCGCAGCGCAACAAAGTCAGCTGTGGCTCAATTGTGACGTCATCAGAGTTGTCTACGTGACGTCACCTGAATATCCTTTACTTGAATATATATGCTAATATATGCACATTTATGTTACTATTAATATGAAATAATATAAATAATATAATAATTACATATTACTGGATTTGTGGAGATATATATATCCATGTATGCATGTTATAGATGTATGCATTTTGTTACGCTTTGTACTGATATGTGCGTTGGGTGTGTTTGAGTGCTGATAATATTAATATTATTTAGTTAACAATTCGGTATTTATTGTTTTTTATTTTTCCTGTTTTACGTTAATCATAATTTGCTCTTGAACCGGTTGGGTGAGTGGTACATACGCGGCATTATTTTACTTGTAGGCTCTGTATAAGCTTGGCTTGTTAGAGCTTTTGTGAGTAGTGTGCCGCGGGGTTTCATATCCTTAAACTGCTGGCGAACAGAGCAACAAGACCAAGCTTTATAATTGTTAGGTTTATCCAATAATAGTTTGTCCAATAATGCCGAGTTTGTGCCACGGAACTTAGTCGGACATTTCAATTATATTCTTTTTATGTCATACGTCTTTATCTTTTTTATATGTTAGTCTACCTTGCTGATACCTCCTCAAAATATATATGATAGACTATCATTAATTCTGCTGCATTACCATATAGGTTCATAATATATAGTACATATATTATACATAATTTTTGATATACATTTTTTTTCTTTCTTTCTTCCCCGTAGCATGAGAGTAATTTTAATTGCTTCATTCTTGTAATTAAGTGAAATGTTATTCGTTATTGTATAATTGTGTTAAGTGGGGGCACGCAACAAGAGTCCTATCTCGCACCCCGGGGCAACGTGTCTGACACGGCCGGTTGTAGCAACTACTTCGAAGATCAAGATTAAGATTAAGATTGAGAATAATAATAATTTAGACTTAGACTTAGAGTAATATTAAGATTACGATTAAGATCAAGACCAACATAACATAATGAAAATGCCCAATAGAGCAGCATCCCAGAGCAATTCCGCTGAGGGACCCCTCTCACGACCGGCCCTGACGGTGCTATCATGGAACGCCGAAGGTATATCAGATGCCAAGGAGGAAGTCCTTGCACATATGTGCAAACAAATGAACTGCGATGTGCTATGTCTTCAAGAGACTCACCGCGGCAGCGACAATCCACGGCCCAAGATCAAGGGTATGAAGCTTGCCATCGAGCGGCCACATCGCCAATATGGAAGTGCTATCTTCATGAACGAGAAGATCAGACCGGATTCTACATCCTATACCCACAATAACGACATCGAAGTGCTGAATGTGACAATCAAAGGACTAACGATCTCCTCCATCTACAAGCCACCAAACATAAGTTTTTCGTATCCTTCCACCACTACCAATAGGCATATTGTAATTGGCGATTACAACAGCCACAGCACGCAATGGGGATATGATACCACTGGAGATGATGGAGCACTAGTTGAAACATGGGCCCAAAACAACGACCTAAAACTAATCCACGATCCAAAGCTCCCAAAGTCTTTCACCAGTGCCCGCTGGAAGAGACGTTACAACCCGGATCTAGTTTTCTGCAGCAGGCTGCTTGCTCCCACCAGTCGTAAGTTTGTAGCTGAGCCGATTCCAAGATCCCAACACCGACCCATCGGCATTCAACTGACTGCAGTTATCACACCAAACAAGACCCCGTTCAAGCGCAGGTTCAACTTTGCTAAGGCAGACTGGCCTGCTTTCACCGAACACCTTGATCATGCCCTAACACATCTCCCTGCAGATCCAAAGAACTATGAATCCTTCATAGATATAGTCAAGAAGGTGTCACGTACACATATCCCAAGAGGCTGCCGCACGACATACATTCCAGGCATCGATGAGGAATCAAGTCAGCTTCTGGCAAACTACACCACAGCCTACGACACAGATGCCTTCTCAGAGGATACCATCAACCTTGGAGAAGAGCTTATATCAAGGATATCTCAACGACATAGGCAGATGTGGCAGCACATGATTGAAACAACAGACTTAAGACACAGCAGCAGGAAAGCGTGGGCCACCATACGCAAGCTCGGAATTGACAGCACCAGAGCTCAACAGCATTATAATGTTACGGCTGACGAAGTAGCAAATCAGCTGTTGAAAAATGGAAAGGCCCCCAAGACGACTAATTCACACAGGCACAAACTACCTGGAGTTGACCAGAACATGTCTCTTTTCACAAGACCTATTTCTGAAGAAGAACTACAGAAAGGTATCTCCACGCTACACGTCAACAAGGCGGCAGGCATCGATGACATCAGATCGGAGCAGATCAAACACATGGGCTCTGTAGCACAGAAATGGCTGCTAGACATGTTTAACAACTGCATCGAGAACACATGTGTCCCAAAACAGTGGCTCCGAACCAAAGTCGTCGCTATCCTCAAGCCAGGAAAGGACTCGAACGAAGCCAAGAACTTTCGACCGATCTCGCTCCTGTGCCAAACATACAAGCTGCTTGAACGCCTTATTCTCAACAGAATTGGGCCTCACGTTGACAGCCAACTGAACTGTGAGCAGGCAGGTTTCCGACCAGGAAAATCCACCACGGGACAACTTCTCAACCTGACCCAACACATCGAAGACGGTTTTCAGAACAACCTCATCACAGGTGCAGTATTTGTGGATTTATCTGCGGCTTATGACACTGTCAATCACCGAAGGCTACAGACAAAACTTCATGACATCACAAATGACCTCAAACTCACCAGATTCATTCAGAAGATGATGCAGAACAGACGCTTCTTTGTCGAACTGGATGGGCAGAAGAGCAGATGGCGGAAACAGAAAAACGGTCTCCCCCAGGGTGGCGTCCTGGCGCCAACACTCTACAACATATACACTGCTGACATCCCTTCAACAGAGAACACTCGAAACTTCATCTATGCAGATGACACCTGCATCACAGCCCAGCATAGTACCTTCGAAGCTGTTGAACTCCATCTCAACACAGCGCTCGCAAGCCTTTCGGAGTACTACAGAGCAAACTACCTACGGGCAAACCCATCCAAGACTCAGGTGTGTGTTTTCCACTTGAAGAACAGGGAGGCAAAGAGAGAACTGAAGCTAAAGTGGAACAATGTGCAACTTAACCACTGCGAGCATCCAGTGTATTTAGGTGTAAAACTTGACCGCACTTTATCCTTCAAGAAACATATCGAGAAGACAATAGGCAAAGTAGAATCTCGAAATGCCATCATCGGGAAGCTAGTATCTTCACACTATGGCGCTGACCCCAAAACTGTACAAAGTGCAGCTGTTGCTCTATGCATGTCATCCGCAGAATATGCTTGCCCAGTTTGGAGCAGATCAGCCCATGTGAAGAAGCTTGACACCACACTCAATAACACATATCGAAAGATAACAGAATGTCTGAAACCAACAAAAGTTGAGGAGATATATCACCTCGCTGGCATTGGATCTCCTAACCAAAGGCGCACTAACACCTGCCTAAAGGAACGGATGAAGCAGGCGACAGATGACAGACACATGCTACACGGATACTTACAACCCCACAAACGACTTATATCCCGACACAGCTTCCTCGATTCTGTCCCACCACCTGAACAGAATCCTCCACCATCAGTCAAGCCCGTACTCATCAAAGGTCTTAACCTGAAGTGGCCGGAGTGGCAATGCCTAAATCGAATGCGGACGAGAATGGGACGGTGTAAGGTCAATATGGCAAGATGGGGCTATGCCCATGAAGGAGATACTCTCTGCGACTGCGGAGAGACTCAGACGATGGACCACCTCTTGCAGTGCGGCGGAACGGGTTGCACAGATGAAGACCTGTCCCTTGTTAATGAAACGGCCATTGCAGCAATCGAGCGATGGAAGAACTTAATTTAATTTAATTTACTTCTAAGTTAAGGAACTTTACATTACTATCTTGATCTAAGGAGACACGAACGAACGATGTGTGATCGATTTACTGAGGACTATCCCACGTCTATCATAAAAATGTGTGCAATAGTACTATCCAACATTTGCATGCCCATATGGGGGCTGGGCGCATGCAGGCTCTGTTGTTTAGAGCCAGTAACAAGGATGACAAGCTTGTTTGTCGGCCATACTGTCAAGAAACAATCTTGGATGAATTCTTTTTACATTTTTTAGTGCGAGGCCCTAAGTAAGAGGCAT